ATTTGCTTTAGCATTCTCTCTCTCTCCTCTCCCTGTCCCGCTCTCTCTCTCTCAAACTCAAAGCTGCATCCCTTTGGGCCTTGAGGCTCCCCACAGGATTTTGTTTTCAGAGGAAAAAAAAATGAAAAGTGCAGCTCCCCTCACTAAGAAGGCTGGGGTCTGCTGTCTCTCCGTGGAGCAAAGCAAGGTCATTTTCTATCAGTACTTCATTCAGCTCTTACAGAATCTGAGGATAGGATGGAAACTGTGCGGGTCTGCTGGGATGAAGGGGCTAAACACAGATGAAGTTTCATAGATGAAATTTCTATTCAGATAAAATTTTAGCTGAAGGAGCAGCAAAAAACCCACAGCACCACATTGATTATTAACTGGAGGACCACTGTCATTTATCCTGGGATCTTGGGAATGTAAATCTGAGAATAAGGCTAAAACACCAAAAGCAGAGGTGTTTACACACTCCCTAGTCCATGGCTAGTTCTCCTGCATCAAGCATGAAGGTTCAGAGGGCCCCTCACTTACATCTCTACCAAATCAGCACCAGCTACCATGCCTCTACTATCTCTAGAATGACTAATTCCAGTTTAAACTGTCAATAAACAAATGCACTTAGTCAAAAACACAGATGGTAATATATAAAGGTGCCAAAAAAACAGTGGCTTCTGCATTTCCATGGGCTCATCCAAACTCTCTTGCAGGCCTCCACCCTGCTGAGGAGCAACAGGAAATAGTGAATACACAGTAACTTGTTCTGGTGTGAAGCAGCTCTCTCCCAAGAGGGCACTGAGGCTGGGTGGCTGGGTGGCTGGTGCAGCTTTGCACTTGGGCTCTGGTACAGGTTACTAAGGAGCTTTTGCTCAGGTGCCAGGGGAACTCCAACCTCCTGGCTGACCAGGCCTCACCTTACTAGCTCTCACCAGTCTTACAGATCACTCAAGTCTTATCCAGGAAGCCAAAAGGGGGATGGCAGAGTCATGGAGAGACTATTGGTGCCACAGAAGACTCAGGTCATACTGCCACCCCCACCCTGCAGATTCCTGGGTGAGGCTGCACCTTCCCAGACCAGGGCAGCAGCATCTCAGCTCTCCCTGCAGGACTGACAGGTAGTCAACAGACATCTCCCCCCCTCCCCCCCCCCCACTCTTCTCTTTATGCTAACAGAGCAGATTGGGCCATCACAGCACTCCTTCCCCTCCAGAGTCTCGCCTTGCTTGCTGCCCCTCCTCTTCAGCTGCAGAAGCCTCCTGGGGACTTGGAGCCACCGCATTCTCCCACCAGAATTCCCAATAGGACCAAAGCACAGGCTACGGGCTTCTAGCAGAGCAACCCCCACCCCAGGTAATCCTGATGGAACAGGGAGACGGCCAGACGCCAGGCATGGCCCTTGGCTGCCCTCTCCACTGACTCGCAACTCACTGACTCACAACTCTCAGGTTTTTCTCCCACTTTCCTCCTGCACAGCAGGGTTTCCACCCTCTCCCCTTCCTAGAATTCCAATAATGCTGCAGTGCACAGGGTGAAGAGAAGGAAACCACATTTGTCTGTCTTTCCTAACACTGTACCCCTCAACTCCCTCCCTCCATTGCTACAGCCCCCTCTCCGTCCAGCTCTTTGGGGTGGCTGATACAGCAACAGCATCATTTATTCCAAATTCTGTGTTGTTACCCAATCTATATTACTCTAAGAATAAATACAATTAAAAGCTTATAATTTTTCACCAATTTCCAAATGGCAAAAAATAGAAACACACAAGTCTTTGAGGAGCTTTGCCTCTTAAACTCAGGAGACAATGGAAAGAAATGACCACTTTACTTCCTGCTCTTTTTGCACTATAAAGGTACTGTCTCAAATGCTCTATAACATACTTACTCTCTCTTTGAAGCAGGCAAGCAGGTAGGTAGGACAAAGGACCACACAAGGCAATGAGTTCCTGGAAGTAACAAAAACCAACTAGCCCTAAGGTTGCCAGGAACCGCCAGAACTAAGGTCTGAGAAGACCTGGAGCTACTTCAGGCCCAGAGAATGCTGGACCCTCCATCTGAGAGACTGCAGTAGGAATAAAGGCTAGGGAAGGAATATCAAAGAAAACTGTTATCAACTGCTCCAAACCCTTCCCCTTGGCAAACACCCTAGCAAATGACTCTAACCTAGATATAAAACCCCAGGGGTGGGGCAGCTGAGGAAAAAAAACTTAGTACTGGGTACTGGGGCTCTCACTCTACTCCGAAGAACCCTGGGTTCTCTCCCTCTCCCTCCTCCCGTCCTCCTCCCCACTCCAACACCCACCCCTGTTCTTTCCCTTCCTCAAAATTTCTACAAAGAACCTGTTTTTACTTAACTGCTCTTTCTGGAATTCTTTTCTGAAAGGCAATGGACCCAAAGGCCTAGGAATGACCCCTTTTCTGCAAAGCGCAAGACTTATAGCAGAATCTTCTCAGACTTAGGTTCCCAGCTGTTTCCAGGTGGCAGGGGCGGGTAGAGAGAAAGCAGCAGATGTCCTTCTCGAGGCCTCTGCCTGTCTCCTCCCCACTTAACATAAATCACCCAGGGTCCACCACCAGCACCAGCTTTCTCCACACATGGGCCCTCGAGTGTTTTCTTGACCATTCTAATGGCAAAAGCAGTCTCACGTTGCCCACTGTACTGTCTCCTGGAATTATTTAGGCCAAATGCAGCACAAATGGAAAGCTCTGTTTTGCAGTGATCTAAAACTTAATAACCCTCAGTACACAGAGCCGAGGTCTGCCTGCCAAGATCTTAACTAAGAAACTGACCAGAAATAGTCAAAGCAAACATGAAGACATTAAATTTATAAACCATATTAGCAGGCTAATAAAATAATCAAGAAAGAAATTAATTATGTGACATGACAATTTTTAAAGCCATTCTGAAAGTTCCAAGACATATTTGAATTTGTGTGTGTGTGTGTGTGTGTGTGTTTAAATTGATAAGCTGGGTTTGGTTAATGGGTTAATGAAAGAGGGGTGCTTATATTTGTATTTATACCGTTCTTATGGAGGGTCTCCCAACTAGTACTCAGGGGACCTAGGGACCATTCTCACTAGTATTCAAGGGCTATGCAGTGCTATAGGTCATACTTGGGGCCTCTTGCATGCCAGACAAGCTCCCTTGAGTTATCTCCTTGGCCTGAGCTCTTCTACTCATTGACTTCATCATGGGAGTCTGAAAATTTTATATGGGTGGTGGGCACAGAGGGTTGGAAGCCATAACTGGCTTTTCTTGGGGATTACTCCTGGCTCTGTGTTCAGGGATCACTCCTGCCCGTGCTGGAGAAAGATATGTGGTAACAGAGATCAAACCAGGGTTCTCCATGTACAAGGCAGTCTCAAAAAATTTGATTTCTAAAACATATAAGGTTCCAACTCACTAGGGAATAGGCTGTAATTCATAATATTAAAACTACAAAGGAAAAGACAGTGTTGTGTCTGAATAGCACCTAGAGAGTGAAAACTTATGAAGACAGAGCAGGAATAAGAAGTAACCAGTCTCGAGGCTGGAACGATAGCACAGCAGGTAGTGTGTTTGCCTTGCATGCAGCTGACCCGGGTTCGATTTCCAGCATCCCATATGGTCTCCAGAGCACCGCAGGGAGAAATTCCTGAGTGCATGAGCCAGGAGTAACCCCTGAGCATCGACAGGTGTGACCCAAAAAGAAAAAGAAAAAAAAAAGTATCCAGTCTCTTTGAATACTCAGTATTCAATCACCATGAAAACCTGGCCTACGGGCAAAAGTGCTGATACAACAGGTAGCGCCAATTGCCTTGCAAGCAGCCAACCTGGATTCAATCTCTAACACTTCATATGGTATCCCAGGAACCCCAGGAGTGATCCCTGAGCACAGAGACAGGAGTAAACTCTGAGCACTGATGAGTGTGCAACCACTCTCACCCCAGAAGAAAAACGTGACCTACGGATTCGCCAGTTCTTTGTTCTGGTTCAGGAGGAAGTGCTGAGATGGTGGCTCCAGCACACTCCCTGGAGAGAGGAGAAGCTTGGAAAGAAGTTCCACAGATCAAGGAGCAGCATCCTTCCACCAACCTCTCCTCCCTCCTCCTGCAGAACAGTGACTGGGCAGACAGCTTCACCTGCTGACTCCAAACACTCCACTAGGAAAGGGATAAGGTCTACTCATTAAGTTAATTGAAAATCTAAGGAAGCAGAAATTGTATAACTTACTCACTGTCACACCAAATCTGATGGGATGGAAAAAAGAAGAGAGTTACAGCTCAGCCCACTTGATTAGCATAATTACAAAACTAGCATCAAGAGCAACTCTCTGTGTACTATCTTTTTTTTTTTTCTGGAGCACATTTCAACCTCTCAGATTCAGCTCTTTGAATATTTGGGATGACAAAACTGGCCTGACATAAGCATATCATCACAACATTTTGGAAGAAGTAGGGATGAAAGTTTTATGTGATATAAATGCCACATAAAATGTTATTGTGTACTCATGAATATTTAACATTATTTAACACCAAATACCACAGTTCAAATACCACATTTCAACAGACTCTCTGTAACTCACACCAACTGTTCTAATTCATGAATAAAAATTAATGGCTTCAGGCCAGAGCATGAAGACCAAGAGAGAAGAGGGGGCTGTGTGTGGGACAAATGAGGCTGGATGGGAAAGAACTTCCCTGATCCTACTTCAGCTCCAAGTGAGTGTATGAGATAAAACAAGATCAGTAAACACGGTTCTGTCATCTCCCTGTAGTGATAAAACAAAATAAAACACAGTGACTCGGAGCCAGGGATATGGCTCAAATGGCACCACATATGCTTAGCACGTGTGAGGCCAAGGGACCAATCCTGGCACCACACGCCTCCCCAGGACCATTTACATGCCAACTTTGCTCTCCTGAAAGGCAGCAGGTTTAAAGAAGAATGGAAAGATGCCCACAAATTTGATCATAAATAAAAAAGCTTCAAAAGCTACTCTGTCCTCTAATCACTATGTAGGGTGGTGAAGCTCCTACCTTGGCCCCAGTTCCTCGGCTACGGCTCCCGCTCAGAGGAGACGTCGCCCTCGGCCCCGCTGCTCGCGCTCCGATCTTCCTTCCGAGCCACATTTCGTTCTTTGCTGGATTCAGAAGGCCCTTTGGCTCTGTTTTTTTCTTTTCTCTGCTGTTGTTTTTCAAGCTTTGAAAGCTGATAAAAAAAAAATGTGAAAGAGGGGAGAGAGAAAGAAGGAATTATTACATATGCAAAACACGGAATTAGTTCACAGGTGGCAACACCCAAAAAAAATGTCTTTTTCCTGATATCCTTCTGCATCACAGTGTTCCCACTGTGCCAAATTACATACAAAATTAGGCTGGTACCTGATCCATTAGCACAGATTACTCATAATCTCTCTTAGATTTATCCTATTTATAATTTGACTTGCCATGTCATATTGGGAATGGGCAACTAAAAGCCTCTGACATATTTACAAGAGCCAATAAATGAAATGGCTGTTAATCAGTTATTTTTCCTTTGATGTCTCTATATCTTTTTCACCAAGTTGTCTTCCCACTTAGTGTTTTCTAAAGAGTCATCAAAACACTCTACTATCGCTGAAGATAACTAATAAGGCTGTGAAGAAAGTACTAGCACATTTTTTTTATTTTTTAAAATGTTTTTATTTATTATTAGTTTTTTAAATAAATCACTGTGAGATGCAGTTACAGACTTAGAAACTTTCATGATTACATTTCAGTCACACAATGGTCGAGGACCCATCCCTCCACCTGTGCCCATTCTTCATCACCACTGTTCCCAGTATTCCTCCCGCCACCCTTACCCCATCCCCCGCCCTGCCACCTCTATGGCAGGCACATTCCCTTTTACTCTCTCTCCTTTGGGGTGTTATGGTTTGCAATACAGGTAGTAAGTGGCGATCATGTTTGTAAGCGTTCGCAAGTAAGTGGCCCACACATTCAGATATTTTCTCAAAGACTGAAGGCTGACTCACCTACAGCTTAAAACTTAATGCTCTTAGCAAGCTGCACGGTGGCTACATGCAAACAGACAGTCTGCCATGAAGCTTCTCTGATTTCCTTCAGGTCAGCTGGGGTACACAACTCTGACCTCCAACACCAAAGGAACATGGATCCACTTCTCCCACAAACGTTCAAAGAAACCACAGGCTAGGCCTGGGTGAACAAACTCAGAAAGTCCCAGCAACAACAGCAAGGCCACTCCAGCAAGGCCTGCGGAGAACCGTGTAGGAAAAGATTGACCATTGAGACCCATGGGATTCTCTTGGAACAAGTAAGTAAATACTTGTAACGAAGACAAAACAGAGAAACATCCATTTTCATCTGCCTCCCAGACCAAGTCTACAAACAGTTCACAAGGAAAAGTGAAAACAATGAAATGGCTGGTTTCTCTCTTGGTCCTTACCCCACATTCAAAGAAACAGAAATGAGACACTAGCCAGCCTGCCATATTAGAGAGATCCTGTGAGATCAACCATCAGCGCTAGCTATATATTTAGTGCAGAAAATCAAATTTACTAATGGGTGACTTCATAATATTTTTCCAGTCCCTGTTAATCAAAAAAAAACTGTAGAAAACAACTAATTTGGTTAATGCTAGCAATATTTTGTGAATGAAGACATCATTATGCCTTTGATCCAGTAACTGATCTCCCAGATTAACTCCCTCCTGTGTGCACAGAACGGCTCCTAGGTATGTGAACTGGATAGCACTCAGAAAAAACCAAATGTTCATTAACATGAGAACAGATAAAAGAATAATGTGGCATATAGTCACACACATACTATAATTACATGTATCAAAATAAATGTCTTTACATCGTGTCATGTGAACCAAATTATTTCAGAAATTTTTTTATAGGATTCCATTTATACAGACAATAGTATACATTGAGCTCATACAGTTAAGTATGATCCAGAAGAACATAAACCAACCACAACATACTATAGTTAATTTGGGGAAGAAAGAGAATGAAATCACAGAGAAATGACTATTATGTAGGTTTTAACTATAATAGTCAATGTTAACTTCTTAAGAACAAAACTAGGGGACCAGAGAGATAGTACAGTGGGTAAGGTGCTGGTCTTGCATGCAGCACAGCTGACTCTGGTTTGATCCCCAGCACCCCATACAGTGCCCCCTACTCCCAGGCTCCAAGCATCGCCAGGACTGATCCCCAGAGCCAGGTTTAAGCCCTGAGCACTGCTGGGTGTAGACCAAAAACAAACATAAGACAAAGAAACAAAACAAAATCAGAACTTCATCAGGGCTGCTGACTAGTGTGAGGATGTGAATGCTACAGTTTACTACTAAACTTACTTGGGCAATAAGATGTGTGTGCCAGGATGCAAACCAACACACAGTTTTCCTCGTCAACAGTCTGACTGCGCAAAAGTATCAGTTACTGAACCAGGTACTGATACAGCTGGTTTCGTCCTGGCACAAGCCATTCATTCTGCCGTAGCCTAACAGCAAACAGCTTGGCACGGGCACTTTGAACAGGAGAGCATGCCAAGGTGATAAAGGTTAGCACTTTTAAATCTGGGTAGAGGCTACAAGGCAATCCTTACTATTCTCTGCACCATGATTTGTCCATGGACAGTAACTTTTCTCTTTACTATTCTAACACAGATAAGAAGGAATTTTCTGCATCTAAGATGACAGCCTGTGTTCCTTCTTGCTTCCCTACTGGTGTCTAAATGCTACTTCTTTTATGAAATAATAGAGTGCAGTAGACAGAAGTCCTGCCTAACTCTTTTGGAAAATGATTTGGATAGCACAATAATGTGCACGTACACACCATTACTAAACTATACAAGTAGTTGGTAAATTTCAGATGTAAATTTTAGATGTATTTTCCCACTACTTAGAAAAATGTATGGCAATATAAGTGACATGTTAGTTTCAGGTATACAACATTAAATTAAAAACTTAAATTAAATTACAATTTTAATGTTTGTATATATACTGCATTATCATAGAGTAAATCTAGTTAACACCCATAATCTCTTCCCAATTTTTAAAATGATCTTGAAAAATATAAAGCTGGCATCTAATTTATTTGTTGCTTTGTGTTTTGGGGGAGACTCCAGAGCAATGCTTATGGGACTGGGACACAAGGGTGACCCTCTGCCACCCAGGCCATGGGCTCAGTGCCAATGGCCAGGAGACATGGAGGCACCTAGGACTACCCTGGCACCCACCCCTGCCCCCCAGCAGGGCTTAGAGCCACCACGGGTGCAAGCTCTGGTCCCACTGTGACACAATTCCAACTATGTGTCCCTGACCAACGAACTACCTCCCAGTTCCTTATTTTTGTTTGTTATATTCCTGACTCATAAAATCCAAGAAATTAAGATTGTTCTACAGTAATTATAATAAGTATTCTTCTGCTGCCAGCAGTTTACATGATGGCAGTGTCCGTATATACTTTTGTACATGCACGGACCTGCTTTATGTAAGACACTGAGGAAAAAGTAGATTATTCTTTTCTTTCTTTTCTTTTTTGGAGGGGCATGGGAGTAGACCTGGGCCACACCTGGTGATATTCAGGGATTACTCCTGGCTCTACACTTAGGATTACTCCTGTTGATGCTTAGGGGACCAAACGGCATGCCAGGGATCAAACCCTGGTGCAAGGTAAATAAATCCCTACCTGCTGTACAGTCACTCCAGCCTCCTGATATTTATTTTCAAGTCTCTCCACAGTTTCCCAAGAGGGAAGGATAAAAATTCTGTCACCAATAAGTTAAAAGTAAACCAAATTTTGCCTCTTTTGCCTCTCTACTAAGATTCAATCTGCTGGAAAGGGGGGCTGGAGCGATAGCACTGCGGGTAGGGCATTTGCCTTGCACACGGCCGATCCAGGTTCGATTCCCAGCATCCCATATGGTCCCCCGAGCACCTCCAGGAGTAACTCCAGAGTGCATGAGGCAGGAGTAACCCCTGTGCATGACCGGGTGTGACCCAAAAAGCAAAAAAAAAAAATCTCCTGGAAAAGTCTGTTTGTGACCCAACCTACAAGTACCTTTGTACTCATTACCACTGGTGAGGAGCCAGATCCTGGGAGGGTGATGGAGAGTAATTCCCCAAATGAGCCGCTCTGCAGGTGCCAAGGTCCCTGTGGCACTCATATGATTTTCCACCAACTCCCAACAGAGGCAACAGCAACGGGGAGTGCAAAACCACACAAATGCCCAGTTTGACCTTCGACCCCACCCCATCCTCTACTACTGTGAACCAAGCTTGCAAATCACATGCAGCCATTATTTAAGTGACAGGCATACCCCAGGTTCCTATAAACTATATAATGATTATTCTTTTAAATTATTTATCTTAAAACAACCCCAAGAGTATATGGCCAGATGCCTCAGAATAAAGTTCTCTGTGAGAACACTGTGAACTTAGCCTTTTCTTGGAAAATGTGGAATCTAATGTAGCCAAAATGTGGTATTTACATCTCAAGACAAGAAAGGAGTTGGATTTTTTTCAGGAAAAAAATGAGAAATTTGAAAAATGAAATTGATACTACATATGGGCTTGTATAGAGTGTCAGTATATTTCAAATTAACTGGAAGATATATGTCAAGAAGACTATATACTACTAAAAACCCTGTAAACATATAATGGAAAACACCAACGCTTTTATTTGCTTACTTTTGTATCAACAGATGAGAGTATCCAAAATGCAGAGGAGACAGCGTCCAAACATCCTGGTTCTAGTGCCTTAGAGAAAATCCACAAGCCAGAGGCAGTTCTGGCAGACACAACAGAGGCCAGGGAACAATCCTCCTGTCAGCTGATTTCTCTCAACAAGGTTCTCGGCAACGGGACTGAAATAATGAGATCCAAGCTTCCCCAACATGTGACTAAATCCATGGACAAAATAAAGGATTTCCTTTTTAATTAAATGGCCATGCTCTTACTTGAATAATGTAATAATAAGCTAGTCAAATGTCAAATGTGGTTATTACAAGACACTCCTACAGGGCCTACCAACCTGAGAGACTGGGTAGGTGGCAAAATGAATGAAATACTATGTAGAGGATAATAAGACATAGTGGAGACAGTGGCTGCATCAGGGAATGCGGCATTCCATTGTTTTTAAAACCTGACTCCTGACAAATGTAGTGTCATTGGGATATATAGTCACCTGCATTTTCTCTTGC